TGGCCAGAAAAATAAGTCTTGATAATATGGGGATGTGGGGTTGATGTTTTAAATGATAAATTATGATACATAATGTATCTGAAGTATTTTCTTGATGGCTTGGCCTATAATAAATGCTTAATAAATGTTAGTTATTATGAATTACCACTTAAATTGACTTCTAAAAGCTGAAGTTATTTACAGGAGTACTGTGCTTATTTATTTCTTTTAATGTCAAGTGACAAACAGGTTGATTTACTTTTACTTTTATTTATTTGCTGCCTTCAAGCAGAGAATAGGGTCTAAACATTACTTTGCATTTCAGATTTTGGAGCATTTATTGTAGCCTTAGAGAAACTGTTTAAAAATATTTAGTCTTTGGTAAAAAAAAACCCTGAACCTATAAATTTCTTTTTGTCTGAATTATCAAATTATATGTATATGCTTATTCATTATCTATTAGGTTATTTATATGATAGGTAATTTGCTTTAATTATATTTTTCATACCAGCATTCTTTATTCTTTTTATTTGGTCTGCATAGAATCTAGAAAGATGTTTAGGTAATAATTTTTGATTTATATACTTTGATAAAATAATATTTAGGATATAAATCTTTTTCATTCATTTCTTTATTGTATATTGTATCATTTATCAGAATAAAATGACATTCTGTGCACTTTACTATCTTTTGCTGGGATTTGATATTCAGTGAGAGTTTCTTGACAGAATTTTTACTGTGAAATATATACAAGAGAGTTGGTAAGGAAATGAGCAATTCTTTTTATTTATGTTGTAAGATTTTCTCATTTGTTTTTAAGTATGCCTGATACTAATTTATACTTTAATCTTTTCAGTATCTTTGTGCTTTAAGTGTACCTTTTTAAAGCGGCAGTTCAATTTCGATTCTGTTGTTTGTTTTTACCATAATTGCGCATTAGAAGCCTTTTCTGCTTCCCACCATGGTTCTGTGGTGCTGTGCTCATTTTTTCTCCATTCGTGAGTTGGGATGCCTTCAACTTGTTTATGAATCTAACACTGCCAGTAGAAATATGCACAGGGCATGTGTGAACAAACACATACATTTTTATGATCACTTTTATAAAATAATTCACATTTCCTCTACACCGTCAAACTGTTCTCACTCCTTCTGCTTACCCCAGGGATAGCCTCACCTCTTCAGTTCACTGGGTCCAAAGTATGGAAATACTTTCCAGCCTTGTCTAATAGATGCCATCAGAATGGCCAGTGCTTTGTGATAAATTTGCTTCTTGATGCCTAATTCTAGAAATTTTTGTCTTATTAATACAGTGGTCGGGTACAAACATTCAGTGATACAGTTTTTTTCCACTGCTGTGGATGAGACTCAGGGGTTTTGCATGATAAGCAATAACGTGATTATAATTATTGTCACAGACCCATGCCACATGATTGGCTGGGCTTGTAAAAGAAGGTATAAGTATTACTTACTACAGACTGTGACAACCCTAACTGTCTGAATTAATCTAGCTGTCTTAAATGATACAATTGTTTAAAGATTTTTAAATCTTTAATCACATTGTCATTACCTCCCCTTGGAAGGTCCTCTTCACTTCTAACACCCTAATCCCACCAGTCTTCTGTTTTGGGACACCGATGTGGAAGGCTTTCTGGCTTACAGTTTGTAGAGATTTCAGTCCATGAGTCCCCTTTCGTGGCTGCTTGATAACCTGAATCAATTCAAAACATTTGCAGCAATCTCTCTCCAATAAAAACACCATAGTGTGTTTTCACACATCTTCTCCATCACATGTGGAACCATGGGACTTCTGGCTTTTCCCAAAAGTCCACATGACCACAAAAGATAAATTGTTTAAATCGGTTCAGGAAACGGAGCCAGCCACAAGAAGACAATTAGAGACTCAGAAAAGATGTCTAACAGAACTGTTTCAGGAATTGGCAAGAATGATGGGATGAATATATTTGAAGGGAGGGGGAATATTTTGAGAGGGATTATTAGCAATGTACCATTTACTGCAATCTTTTTAAAAATTTGATTATCAACATATATTTTGTTCTCACCACATAACTGCCTAGCATCTTTCTAACAGCCTGGAATTGCTGGTGGCAAACTCAGATCAAAAAGTGCTGCTACAGAACTGGTGAAAGAGCTCGGTGGTCTGGGCACCTGTCTGGCAGGTGCAAAAACCTGGGTTTGATCCTGGGTACCATATGCCCTGCCACGCATGCCGTGGCATCCCAAAACTGAGCATGTTGGTATATACCTATAATCTCAGTGCTGGGGAGGCTGAGACAGCAGGATCACTACAAGTCTGTACTGCATAGTGAGACACTGTATACAAAAATAAACAACATCATCATCAACAACAACAAAAAGAAAAGAAGCTGTGCCCCTATGAGTCTAAAAGGGAAACTCTAATGATCTAGTAATCCTGATAGAAGGTAGTATGTCCATAGACCCTGTCCTCAAAGTAGTTCTACATTTTGCTGTTCATAACAACGTGGTACATGGTACATCCCACCAGGAATAGCTCATTTTATATACAGACTCCAATCCACTCTTGGCAGAATGTTGTGGGCCTCTATTCATTTTCTTGGTAAGCATAATGACAGTGAAATCAGAATCATACTGATCAAGGCACACATAAGACAGCCATCTCTGCCAAGCAAGAGGTAAATGCACCTCACATTGTGGTTGGCAATAATTTTAATTAACATATTTTAGATATTATACTTTGCTATATTTTTTAATGTACATGACTATGATTAGGAACAGTTGAAAGTTTCTAACAGCTAAACATTTACTTATTCTATGATTCTGGAGGGTGAGTTTTGTCATATCTAGTGAGATATTCAAAGAGAAAAGTTTCCACTTGTGTTTGCAGCATATCTAGGGTTTTCATGACATCAATAAGCTCTATTCCTTCTTGGAGAGAAGAAGGGTTTTATCATGAAAGGGATCACCCTCTAACTTCTAAAGAGCTAACTTAGGTAGGATGAAGAAATTTCATTGTGAAATAAAATGGAATCAAGGAATATGAATATAGTCTTATAAAAGATATAGATTTGTCCAGAAAGTGTAGCTTTCCAATAATTTTATATAATACTTGTATTATCAACAAATCAGGTTCTAGGACTTGATTCCAATATATTCTACACAAAAGAGGCAAAATACCAAGATTAATTTTAAAGTAAAATATCCTGAAGTACTATGATAAGGAGAGAACTAGCTCCCTAATCCACTTTCTGGTAACTTAATTCAAAACATTTCAGGGCAGGTAACAGGATGCTCTTCTCTTTCTGTAAGACAACAGACCAAGAAGGAAGACCAGTGGCTTCAAGAAGCTGTTATTGGCCCACCAGGAGAACCAGTGTTGTCAGAAAAACCACAGGACACTGAGCTACATTTGAATTTTGAGTAACAAATAATTACAAGTATAATTATAATCTATGCAATTCATCATTCATCTGAAATTCAAATATATCTGGATATCCCTGAATATTTTTTTTATTTGCAAAATCTGAGAACTTTACTCAATTAGCTTTCAGATCCAGGGATTCCTCAAGTACCTTGAAGTCCTCATTATTTTTCCAAATGAAAAATTATTTTCATTGACTTGTAAATTCAATGAAATTACTTTTTTCAACTGTCATCACATAACAGAACTTATCTCAGGTAATCAAGACAGCTTCATCTTGGATAAATCAAATATAGATTCTCTCAAAATCTATATAATGTTTCCAAATTATTCAGAAGTATCTTTTTGTTGGTGGGATTAGAGTTTATTTTATTATCAGTACTTTAGTGTAAGATTTACTGCCAGAAACTAAGGTCATGAATTTCTTTCTGATACTCACTCCCAACACCTTTCAGAGTCAATATACAAAGAAAATGAACCCCTAGTAGATGTACAAAGACGTAAGGGAAGATGAGAAGATAGGAAGAAGCAGAAATACAGTAATTATAAAAAGGAAAAAAAACAGTAATTGTCAGAATTTGACCATTGTAGCATGTAACTTTGCTTGTAAGTAAATTAAAATTGCGTAAACTCACTGCATTTGCATATATAGTTCAGTTTGGGCATTTTCATGGCTTCTTACAGACTCATTCTCTTGTGTATTTCTCAAGCTTTAAAATGAATGTACCCGTTTATCTTGTCACTTCAACAATTTCATTTGAAGGGGCTTTTAACTGATGTCAGAAAGGAAACTGCTGCTATTTGTAAAGAGAATTTGAGGGAGGCAGTTGGAAGCTAGAGATATGCCTTTCTTGTCAGCTTCCCCAAATGGAAAACATTCTTCTCCATTTGGAGAAATGGAAATGTAAAATATGCTCAAGGGTTCATAATGCAAATTTGAACTACGGTCCATCTACCGCTGGTGGGTGCTCTGTCCATGGTTATGTCTGGTCGGAGGTCAGAGAATTAGACTCTTTGAGGTAGGCTGAATCATAGAAATTACTTCACTAAAAGCTGAGCATGGTGGAGCATGCCTGTAACGTCAGCTAAAATTATGTAATAAAACTGGGACAAGTGATTTCAGCCCATGAAATTAGAAGTGCCTGGCATGCTCAAGTTCAGATTCTCAGGGGCACAAGCATGCTCCGAATTCAGGATATTGGAGCAGAATGTCGCTTCGCTGTAGGTCCTTTGGGTTGGGTATTTTTTTACACACATAGTTCTTTTATCCCAGTCCTGAGAGTCCAGTGCTGAAAGGATTATAGAGACTTTGCATTGCCTGAACTTGAGCACAAGTTTTCAGAACTGTCACTGAATTCATTGTAAAATAAAGAGGGAAAGGACGATTATATGATCTATAAAGTCCCTATATGCCTCTGATAGTAAAGGAATATATCTGCTAGGATTAGAAGTGGTGCATACACAGTAGGTGAACCGCATGCACTGTGATATTTTTCTCACAAAATAATGAATATGGCAGTTAGCCTGGGCTGGCTAGAAAGTCCCCAGTGCCAGCAGGGAGCAATACTCCAAAACTTATGCTCAGCAAATGACTTTTTTTTTTCAAGGAGAAGCTCAAATGCAGTCCCCTACTACACAAAATTATGCAGTCAAGTTTCCTGATTTTGGAGAAATCACAGGGGTTGGTACATCTGGAAGCAATGGATGAGACTCAACCTGAAAAAACAGCTTCGCGATCATAGTGTCTCCCCTGTCAGTGAGTAGAGCAAATGACATTTGTTTTCATGCTTTTCACCTGTGATTGCAAGATGGCAGCTCTGCCTCCCACAGCTACATCTCAACTGAAAGAAGGCCCCAAAGTGTGCTGGAGATGAACACACCTCTGTTGCAACTCATCTGAGCACCACAAATGCTTGTGTCTGAACATCCCCAACTGTGCCACATAGCCACCCACAAGTGAAAGAGAGGTTAAAAACTACATATGAAGTTGGATATGTTGCAACCCATATACATATTTATAAGTAAGCGAAGGAGAGATATTGGGCAATCACTTGAAAAGGGATTAAGACTCTATACTCCTTACCATTTAATTGCCTTTAAGTAATGTATCTTTTAAGTTACTGAGAACAGACAAAAATCACCTAAATATTTTGTGAAGAATTCTTGTAACTTAGAGACCTGTTAGCCTCAGTTAAGAATGGTGGCTCTCTAATGTTAATGCTCTAACCATCACACATGTCCCTTACTCATACACTTAGTCTCTCTCTAAATCAAAATTGTTTTCCTTTGTATTCTTTTATGTTGGTTCACTCATCACTCTCCTTTCTTTCTCTTATTACAGCCATTCTTACCTGATAAACTGATTAGCAGTAGTTGTCAATAATTTGTAAAACTTATAAAAATTTTATAACTTCTTTATAGCCACATTCCAATTATCTAGTAGGATGTCTTTTATTCAAGACATGCTCCTTTAAATCTATAATCACCTTTCTAAGATAGAAGTCATTAAATTATAAATTTGTAAAGACTATAATTTTTTCATTACCTACTGGGTTTTTTCTCTTCCACCTTTTCTTATGTTCTTCACTCACATGAAAAGTTAAGTGCTCATTTCTATGCTTTATGCCCTTTTGTATAAGAATAACATATATATATATATATATATATATTTTGCTTCCTATTGGTCACACTGTACCTCCCTCAAGAGTGGGCAGAGTACCTCTCCCTTCCCCAAGTGACTTTGAATTAAACCACATACATGGCTCTTACCATTGGAATTTTGGTGAAAGGGAGAATGCTTTTGTGCCCACACACTGTACTCATTCACTAAGGAAATGTCCCCAGACAGCTGCTCACCCAAAGTGCCAGTAGAGATTGTCACAAGTTCAGCTGAAGCCTGAAACTGAAACCAGCTCCCCAATGTAACTTAAATAAATCATATGAACTTTATTTCACTACTAATATTTTTGGATCATTGGTCACACCTTATCACTGTGACAATACCTGACTAATTCAATTTGCTGGGGGAAATATGACTATTTTACAGTGTTCATGGGTGGAATTACTGATCAAGAAATGCTGGTAGATGACTGCATGGTGTGTATCCTTTAAGATCTGTAGCAATTCCAAATTGTTTCTCAAGATTTCTGTAAATTCTAGGGCTTATCCTAGAAGCAAACACAGGGACAAGTGAAAAAGGGATGTCTGTCGCTGAAGGGAACAATTGCCCAGATTTTGTGAATTCTGCTGCTTTGATTGATGTAACTTCCCAGGTTTATGCATCTGTTTTCCTGGTAAATGAGATTCCTATGCCCTACTCAGCAAACAAAATTTAAGTGTACAAACGTAGTAATGTTTTGCAGAAAATGTGAGTGGCCTTGAAAGAAAGGTGCTATGGAAATTTGAGACATAACAATCATGAATAATTCACCACAGTACTTAGCTCCCAGCAAAGGGCAGTTGAGGACTCAGAGGGAAATTGGCGATGCTTTCTTCTCTATAATTGACAAGTGTACCTTGGAACAAACAGAAGCATCTTTTCTATTAGCCTAGGTCCTGGAAGGACTTCTGAGTAAACAACAAAAGCCACCTCAGCCCTGGCTCTTCGCCACATGTGGCAGGAGGCCCCAGAGGGACAAATTCATCTTCAGTTCCAGTGTGGTCCAGCAGGGCCCAAACAGTCCATTACCAGCAGGAGCCTGGGAAGAGCTGGAAAAGAAAAGTTTCCTCAGGAAGCCCACATTGGCTGCCTGTGCTGGTGGCATGAGGAAATCCTGAGAGACCCCCTCCAGTCCTTGTCACTACAGTTTCTCTACCCAAAGTAAAATAAACGAGACAGCTGCTGCATCTGGTCACCCTCAGAGGGGCACGGCTGCAGCTGGCTTTTCTCCCACAGGGCTCTGCAGTTATTCTGTGCCTACTCTGGCACCTAGACAGCTGGCAGCTTTTCCTAAGAACTTCTTAGAATTCTCTTTTTTGTGCTCTGAAACTTGCTGCTGATTGTAATTATCCAGTGACCAGTGGAATCTACAGCCAGGAAATATATGTGGCTCAGTCAGTCCTCTGCAAGCACTAGCTCCCCTCCAGTGAGACGCAGCTTATCTGGGGAAGGAGACATGCCAGGGAGCAAGAGCACTTCTTGAGAGATTGCCTTGTACCCTTTTTTTTTTTTTCTTAAACAGTGTAGAAAAAAAAATGGAGCCTTTTTTCTTTTCTCATTACAGAGAAGTCAGTTTTCTTTGGCTCCTAAATTATGGACACTTTCCACGCAGGGGAGGAGAGCCATACTCCTTGTTTCTAAGTAAACCTGAGTCACTCAGATGAGGAATAGGTTTTGGCATATTCATAATCTAGGTGAGAGTTCACAAACTCAGCATTTTCAGTGGAGTACTAAACACTGGAAGTGAGCGACGCTGACCTGATGAGATGAACCCTGGCTAACCCAGACAACCGGAAGTGATGAGTCTGGGGAGGCGAAGGAGTTTGAGCGCTGCTGGAGGGTGGTTCATGCTATTCAGTTTCATCTGGCTGCTGTCTGGGAATACAAACCTCTATTCTGGAGAGGAGCAATCACCGGCACAGCACTCAAAAAGCTTGAAGGCGCAACTTTCCTTCGCATGTGGGGACAAAAATAAGCCTCCCAGGGTTCTTATGGAAGCATTACAAAGAAAAAAGTAGAATGGTTAGTGTTGGATGGTTCCAGAAAGATTGGCCATTTAAGAAATGAACCAAAATCTAATAATTCCATCTAATAAATTGTTTTGATTTGTGCCAAATTGTTGGGGAATGCTATTAGTAGAATTTTCAACAATGAAAGTTGCTATTCTAAGACATGTACGTGGTATGAGTTTTGAGTTGTTCTGATCAATGGGAATTATGAAAAGAAGGCAGTAGGGCACTGGTAGGCTAATGGAAAAAAACAGGTGGCCGAAATGACATTTCATAAGTGAGTTTGCAGAATGAGTGAGAGGAGAAATCTCTTATCAGATCGGGGCCCTTTTGTTTTGTAAGGATGGTTGAGAGCAAAGTTGTAGGAGATATGGATGGATTCTTGGTGAAAAGAGGACAGAGTTCATAGCTCCAAGTTAAATTTCCTGCTTGGTCTTGGATATTTGCTTAGAGAATCAGATGTTTTCCTTACTGTAGAATTAAGTATATGAAATAAATTTACTGAGAAAAGCAATCAAGAAACAGATCTAGAAAGGATCATAGACAGGAAGTAAAGACTGGTATGCAACATCTATAATGCAAGATTTTTAATGTAATTAATTTGGTTTCTATTAGAGAACTGTTTTTATTGATTTGTGCATGCACGTGTGTGTACACATGCCAGCAGCTGTAACAGGCCTCAGAAACCAGACTGACCAGTTTTATTAGAAGCTAATTTATTTAAAAATCATTGGGTAACTAACAAAATCATCATAAATCCCACAGAGTTTTGGAGGGAGTAAAAGGAAGTATATCACAGCCAAGATCCTACCATGACAGCACCAGCCCAAGATCTACTGGGGCAGGAGCTCATAGTCACACTGCTGGGACAGGAGCTCACAATCCCCAGCACCACCAAGAAGTCTTTGCATGTAGCCTACGCTGTGTTTCACTTCCTAAAGATTTAGTGTGATTGGAAGCACAACCTAACTGGTTAAGTTGAAGGTGATTCTCGATATCTTAACTTCTTTTTGTGATGTAAGTGAGAGCAACTCCCAACCTGCTAGATGTTCAGTTCAAGTTCGGGTTCTCCAAAAGCAAAGAATAAATTTTAGGAACAATGGAGGTTAAGAGCAGGGTATATTTACTGGGAGCGGAAAGCTTCTGTCTGAGAGAGACAGAAGGGGCCATGAATGGGTTGCCGAGGATCCCACTCTTTCTAGGGATTTTCATAGAGCAAATCCACAATATGAGGTGAGTTCAAGGTAGAAAACATGTGGATAGGACAGGTGGGCATGAGGTGGTACAAAACTGTGGTCACCCAATAAGATTATGCATCTAATTGCTTAGGGAAAATTGATTAAATCAGAATCAAATTGAGGAGCAAGTCACTTAGCAAGTGGGCATGCACACAGAACAGGGGCTTCTCCTGTAGGGCTTTGGGTTAGAAACTCTTTCTGGTTTTTTCAAGGTGATTGATATCTATTTAGAATATCAGTCTCTAACTTTTATCCTGGGGAAATGTGTGGGTGTATTCCTATTATCTTTTATCTTGAAGTCTGGCCCTCAGAAACTGTAGCTGTCTCTCCCACAGTTGTAAGGTATCTCCTCTTCTACACTGGCTCATTCGAAGGCCTAACTATAATCTGAGTGCCTATAATATTTTATCTAACATAGTAGCATATAACATTTGGATTCAAGAATGGCAAGGGACTTCTCATAGGAAATTAAGATTTAGCAAATCTGGAGAGATAGAAAGTGGATAATTACTTTCCAAGGGCTAGTGAAGGATGGTATTGGGACTAAATGCAAATAGGCACATGGTTTCTTTCTGGGGGTAAGACACATATGTTCTGGAATTAACTAGTAGTGATGGGTGTGTAACA